TTTATCGTGGGGGATTTCAACATAAATCATTTGGAAACCTATGCCACGATCGAAGAATGATTCAAAGACGACCTGCAGGACCTCGTAACCAGTGCTCTATTCTACAATCACGTCACTACGCCCACTCGGTTCAGAACAGGTGACACGCCATCTGTGCTGTATCCTGTGCCTGAAAACGAGAAACAAACGATTGATGCGTTTCTTGTTGACTGTGCTTTAGGCCACACCAGTGAAGAATTCATGAGCTTCAACTTCATCTGCTATGCAGAATATCGAAATCAAACCAAAAGACAGTGCGCAATATTACACGCCACGACGGCTTAAGCCAGCTTGTGATTAACACAACTTGGTTCGAATTCGTCAACAAATTCACTCAAATGATTACAGATGGCAGCACGCAACGCAACAAGGTAGGACCCTAGATCGACGAGACTGGACCCCATCGAGACGACGCTAAACCTGAATGTGGTGCTATGGTTTGCGTGCCTCAGCGATAAGTTGACCTATGCTGGGTGGTGCATTTTTGCACCTTCAGTGCCGCTCATACCAGGTTGCTCAATGGGTAGAAGCCAGACTCAGTGGTCTGGTCTTTCACGTTGAGCGTTGGAGTGAGGTTGGTGCTTTTTATATAAAACGGACTCGGTAGCCCAGCTCCAAAACCCACTGCCTTGCGATCAGGTGTTTGAACCGAACGCTTTGGTTGTGGACCCAAAGCGTGCTCCTGTCTAGGCCTGGGCAACCTGAAAGAATCCTGCCCACGCAATACAATGAATTTTTCTTCAAACTAATTCCTGATGCTCTGACCACCGCAGACGATAATCAACGGTGCTCTATCTGCTGCATCGAGCAGGGTAGAGAGGGGTTTGGATGCTACTACTCAAGCCTTCCCGTCTTCTTATTTCCCTTCACACACTTTTACTCACAGTCTGTGTGTTCTTGTGTCTTCTACGGTCACCGTCACAAACGACCCACGTCTCGCAGCTGATGGAAGTAACAGCCAAACTCTCGGTTTTCAATGTCCTGCGATCGCAACCGCCTCTCACTCCACCGAAGGTCCAGCTCTTCTTCGACCTGGTTCTCCATTCATCCTCACAGCGTTTAATGTTCGAACTTTGATGCAGATCGGACGACAAGCATGTCTGGCCCGTACTCTTGAAACGCTATCGGTAGACATCTGTTGTCTTTCAGAGCCCAGATTACAAGACTCTAGCGCCGTCATCCGAATGGTCTCTCCGGTAAACTCTGACGCCAAATACTACTTGCGGCTTTCCGGAGACCCAGAATCTGCCGCCACTGGTCAAACTGGTGTTGGGATTGTATTAAGTGCCAGGGCTGAATCAGCTCTGCTTGACTGGATCCCAGTCAACAGCCGACTATGTGCAGTCAGACTAAGAGGTTCATGTAATCTAAGCAGGCGTCGAGATGTTAAGTGTGCCTTATTTGTCGTCTCTGCCTACGCCCCTACAGACTGCAGCCCGGATGCAGTTAAAGATAGTTTTTACCAACAACTACATGAACTTCTGCGTTCCTCCAAACGGACGGATATAGTCATTCTTGCCGGGGACTTTAACGCACGGGTTGGCCGCCTTCTACCAAGCGAGCACCACATTGGGGGTAGTTTTGGTCTCGGTGGCAGTCGATCAGACAATGGAGACAGACTACTTGCTCTTTGCTCTGATCATCGCTTGTTTCTTTCGAGCATTAGTTTGCGACACTCGAGGAGACAGACTGCTACCTGGCGCCCGCCCTCACAAACGCAAGAGTGCTCCCAGCTTGACCACATAGCAATCAGCTACAGATGGCGCGGAAGCATAACGGACTGCCGATCGTACTGGTCAACTTTTCTAGACTCTGATCACGCATTGGTTCGTGCTAAGAGTTGCATGCGTTTGGGAGGATCACCTAAGCGCGCCCACTACCGACCGGACGTCGCGAATCTACAAAACGCTGCGGTTTTAACCAGGTACCAAGCCTCACTGTCAACTTTGCTTGGCTCAACTATTGACGGTGATCTCGATTCGCAGTGGGCGCATATCAAAGTTGCGTTAGTTTTCGCCAGTATCAACACTTGTGGAGTTACCCATCACCCACCGAAACATTGGATTCCCGCCAACTCCTTGTCTCTGATGGACAAACGCCGCTTGATCCCATCGGATTCCAGACACGTTGAAGAACGCCAATACCTTGGTCGAGAGTTGCGCAGGAGTCTTCAAATGGACCGCGAAGCTTGGTGGTGTGAACGTGCTAGGGAGATGGAGCTTGCTAGTCTCTCTGGTAATACAAGGAAACTCTTCCATCTCATTCGAGTCACCGAAGGTGTTCGATCTGGTATAAGTGAAACAATATGCGAAGAGGATGGCTCCTTAATCACCAATCTTCAACGACGGTTGGAGCGATGGTCCGAACATTTTGGTTCGCAGTTTTGTTGGCCCCCAGCTCCATCTGCTACCTCTGGCGCTCGCGCTGGGGCAGAGTGGTCTACCCCAACAGACCCTCCCTCTTCCCAGAAAATCGAGCAGGAGCTCCGGCACCTGAAGCGTTATAAAGCTCCCGGCCCTGATGGTCTTCACCCAGCTCTATTTAAAGATGGTGGCGCATCGCTGGACCGAGAACTCACCGTTTTGTTCTCGAAAATTTGGTCGTAAGAGAAGGTTCCATCATCTTGGGGTGAATCGATAGTCGTCCCCATCTTCAAAAAGGGCCTGCGCACAACCTGCTCCAACTACAGAGGAATAAGTTTAGTCCCCGTCGTTTGCAAGCTGCTGGTGTCCATCATACTTCGCAGACTATCCCCAACACGCGAATCGTTGCAACGAGAAGAACAAGCTGGGTTTCGCCCTGGTCGCGGCTGCATCGATCAAATCTTCACACTTCGCCAGATCCTCGAGCTCCGCCATGTGTATCAGAGTCCAACGATTGCTGTGTTCCTGGATATCCGTGCAGCCTTCGTTGCTGTCGATCGTACACTACTGTGGCAGTGCCTTCTGAGGAACGGTGTCCCCGAGAAGTTCGTCTCCATACTGCGCGCTCTATACAGTCTGACCTCGGGCAGGGTTAGGGCTTATGGCATGCTTTCGCCTACCTTTGTGGTCTCCAGTAGAGTTCGACAAGGATGCCCTATCTCTCCGTTCCTATTCAACTTTGCCATTGAGGATGTCCTGAAGAACGCTCTGAGCGATTCGTTGAACGCTAGCGTTGAGCTCCTCCCAGGTAGTCGAGTTGTTGATTTGGATTATGCTGATGATATCGTCTTGCTGGGTGACGATCCACAGGTCGTCCAACTTGCATTAAACCGCTTGACGACTGAAGCATCAAAGCACGGTATGTGCTTTTCGCCATCCAAATGCAAGGCTCTCCTTCAAGACTGGCAGGTGCCTCTGCCTGCACTCACGCTTGCTGGTGAGACACTGGAGGTTGTGGAGAGCTTTGTCTACTTGGGAAGTTGCATCGCTGTTGGCGGGGCTGTTGGAGACGAGATTTCGCTGCGCATCTCGAAAGCACGCCTCGCTTTTTCTAGGCTGAGGCATTTGTGGCGTCGCCACGACATTCGTCTCTCCATCAAAGGGCGGGTCTATGGTGCAACTGTTCGTGCTGTACTGTTGTACGGATGCGAGACCTGGCCCATTCGTAAAGATGACTTGCGCAGGCTATCCGTCTTCGAGCACCGCTGTCTGCGGTCCATTGCCCGTGTGTGGTGGCGGCACCACGTAAGCAATGTGGAAGTTAGACAGCGTGTCTTGGGACGTGGAAGCCACTCGCTCGAGGAGCTCATCTCACTGCATCAACTGCGGTGGTTGGGACACGTATTGCGCATGCCTGTCCAGCGTTACCCCCGTCGTGCGTTGTTTGCACTTGCTGGACAGGGCTGGAAGAGACGGTCTGGTGGACAGCCTACAACATGGAGAAGCCGCATGAAAAAGTTGACGAAACAATTGGCCTCGCCGGTTGTTGTTGACTACCTGGTTGGGGTCCGAGAGATGAGGATACTTGCTGGTTGAAAACCTTGGAAGTTATGGCTCAAGATCGATGTCAATGGCGGACGTGTGCATCAGTGTGTTGCGGTGTCCCTTCCTTCTCCCCCTAAAAAAGAACAAACTGGAAAAAATTTCAAAAACTGTGAGTGGTAAACTTGACAAAATAAAGCATTTCTTGTTGCTTTCTTATTATTCATATTGTTTTCCTATTCAGCCATGATTCCGATGGCACAATATCTGTACCACAGATTATGTATAATATATATATATATATATATATATATATATATATATATATATATATATATATATATATACATATATATATATATATATATATATATATCGAAGACGAGATCACGAACCGTATAGCGATAGCTCGAAGTGCTTTTGCTAATCTTCGCCACCTATGGCGGCGGCGCGACATCACTCTCGCCCTGAAGTGTAGAGAGTACAGTGCAGCGTTACCTTCGTCCCTACTGTAGGGTTGCGAAACCTGGCCCCTAAGATCGGCGGACATGAAGAGGCTAGTTACGTTCGACCACCGGTGCCTTTGCAGTTTGGCTCACATCTGATGAAAACACCGCGTGAGTAACGAGCGTGTTCGACGCATTGTTTACGGCCCAGGAAAAGGGTCTGAACCGCTCAGCACCGTTATTTTACGCACCAGGCTCCGATGGCTCGGCCACGTGTTATGCATGCCAGTCCACCGACTCCCTCGACGTGCGTTGTTTGCTCACCGGGGATGTGGGTGGAAGAAGAGGAGAGGTGGCCAAGTGATGACTTGGTCCAGGGGAATGAAGTCCCTCACTTCGGAGCTGGCCTCGGTTGGAGCGTCACGGCTCCCTGGTTGGGGTCCAAAAGACGGTGAACACGTTTGGCTGGATACACTTGCTGACATGGCAAGGAGCCGACCTCAGTGGCGTTCATGCTGTGAGTTTCTTTGTCCCTCCCCATCCCTTTTAGCCTCCCCCTCCATCTACGATCTCATTTCCTAAGGCAAAACATAATAACTTTTTTCTTTTTGCCTAGTAGCTGGCTGGTAGCGTACCAGAACGATGCCTATCCGTTGCTGGTAGCTCAGTTGGCATGCAACTGTTGTATCTATTTTTCCTTTGTGTATTGTATTATATGCATGTATGTATTTCCTTCATGTATTGCGGCACGAAAGCGGAAGTGTTTTCCCACCTCTAGCTGACGTGTACGTGTGGTGGATTCTAAAGGAATAGTAGCTGAAATGCATAGTTACGTCAGTTTATGCGACTTTTTTGAAAGACTGATAGTAAACGAGAGCAGGAATCCGAATGTGATTCGTTGCGGAGACGTCTCTCGGTCACGTTTTGCAATATTTATTACGGTGACCTACAATTCAGTCAACTAGCAGACAAGCTTTCTTGTACACACAGTTCGCTTTTAGGAATCATAATTGGGTGCTTAATGGAAAGTAGTTCCCCAACCATGTTAAGCACAATCATTAGGAAAATATATAGATCTACTCCTATCGTACAACATGAAGTGCTCTTAAGCAGATGGATTATTTAGCTTCCCTACACTCGTACCGTCGTTGTGGCACAATCGCCTAATTTTCTGTCAACGCATTCTTTATCACCAGGTAAAGGAACCAAGATAGCTAATGATGAATCACTATGGCGCACAACGATCAGCTGGGGTGTTAACAAAGACATCGAAATTTAGTCATATGGTATAGGTTTGCAGAACAAACGACAAGACTAGATTAATGGTTAGTGGTTAAGAGAACTTTGTTACTTTTAACTCACCCATCTCATCATGTTGAAGCCCTGAGTTTAGGCACCTGCAACCTTCATTCATGACTGGTGTGTTGACGAGCACAGGCGAATGACAGACCACGCTCATTTGCATGCAGCGTTTGTGGAATAACGCTTATTGCTATCTATTTCGTTTTGACCTTTGTACATTACTACGAGATATTACTGCATGCGTTACGAATATGTGCACAGACACTAATGGCTAGGCTAATCGTAAGCGTTATTAAAAATACACCATCACAGTATGCCATGTTTAAGATTATAATGTCCGTCACCTAGTGCGCTGGTGAGGAAGCGATTCAGATGGGACTTAAAGAGGGAGTACACCTGGCGCGAACTGAACCTATATTTTATTGAGGAAATTGAAGTTCAGATAGGTGATTTTAAGAAGACAATCGAGAAAACGAAACCCGAGATCAAACGTATACGGTTCCACAGTAGAAACGATTTCCTAGAGCATGCTTCACAACCTACCATAATGAACCTTAGTTGAACACTTCGAATCAGATACAGCTGTTAAGCTATGAGAGAGGTCGGGTTACTTGATACTCACTAATTCTTCAAATAGTAAAGTAAGCTCCAAGCAATGATGTAATAGGATCACCAACTCGAATGCCACTTGGTCGCACCTGTATGAGTTGCTCTCTCTCTTCTTGGTCAACCTTTGAGTCGATCTGCTCTTCATTTAAAGTTGGTGGTTTCCCGCTAATTACTTCCGGGTTTGCTTCAAGCAATCGACGCAGACGATGTATCTCCTCCTGGTACTGCCTCAAAATGGCATCCTTCGGATCCTCGTTGATCTTTGGTCTGTTCTGAATGTTCTTCGCTCTACTGGCATATCGTAGGGTGCTTAAAGTTTCCTCGTAATTGCTGTCCGCCGGTGAGATGCAAGCAATCATTAGCGTTTTTGTGTTTCCACCAAGAGAATCCTATAAATAAAACGGTTCGATGTATAAGGGACAATGAATCAAACTTTGGTGCAAAATTGGACCGAGCCCTTGAACACTGGATTTGTTTAGCAACAGTACTACCTAAAGGTGGTGAATTATGATAGCCTCTACTATTCCACTGATTCATTCAGTAAAACGGTACACTCAGTTCTACCCACATTATTAACTTCTTTCATATCACGTTTCACTCCTCGGTTCGGCCTTATTTCAATTCTGTCAACGTCGTCATGGTGGCGTAACAAGACGCGCAGACTCCATGGACCCAAGTTTGATTCATAGTTCATGAATTAAAGTAGGTCAAACAACAATACGGGTGTGGATCCATGGAATGATTCCTGACATACCAATCACAGGACCCCGTGAATCGGAGTATAAGAGTGCTCAAAATGGCAAATTGTTTTCAAAGTAACGATAGTCAACTAGAACCATGGCAATTCAACATGTGATCTGCAAGCTGAGGTTATAAACCAAGCCTGTAAAAGACAAAGATTGCTTGCTCAAATTGCTGTGCTTGAGTGTTATCGAATTGTTGCTGTAGTAAATACATATCTCAGAACAAAAAGGGAAGCTTGATGATCACCTACTAGCCACTTTCGTAGGTTCGTGGAACCCTTGCACCCTTTGTTCTCCATAAACTGACGGGCACTCGTGCAAGCCAGGTTTGTGGGGAGCAAGCTGTATTTCGTCAAAATCGAGGTTGTATCGACCACAAGTTTAAATTAGTTCAGTTGTAGGGACAATGCCATATGTATTAGCGACCTACCGTAGTCGTATACCTCTACATCAAATCCGCCTTCGAATCGGTGGATCGATATGACTTTTGGGACTGTTTAGTCAGGAAAACTGTGGCCCATGTTGTAGGACGCGATGGCAATCAAAAACAGTCTCGGTGGCGGTCAGCAGAATCGTTTATTGTCAGAGGCCTCGAATATTTATTGAGAAATACACTATTTCTTACGCATTGTTTCACTGGGTAACCTGTCCTCTGGTTAACCTCATTGGCTGAGTTTTCCTTCTTTCTGTTTCATTGGCTCGTGGTTGCCCTATTCTCCGCTCTCTCGCTTGACTGCGTCTCCATGTCGCCTGTGTTCTATGGCTGGTACCAGATTGATCGTATTTCCTCGGCTGGTACGAAGACAGTCCGCCGTTAAGAGCGACTTTGGGTCATCAGTGCTTACCCATCGTTTAGCTGACCAATCTGTACTTCCGGTATTTCGATACACTTAACGTGCCATTAGCATGTTTGCCGCGCGGCAGGATTGGTCTTCTTTCACCTGATTGGTCGTCGGCTGGTGGCCGATTGGTCTGCACGTTTGCTTTGCAACCATAAGGTCACCGGTTCGAATCCGCGTAGGGGTGGGCGTCCTCGAGGTATACTCAGCCCGCGCGCGACTGGTGGTGGTCGCGCGGCAGGGAAGCGCCGTTACGGCGTACAGCTGACACGTTGTCGTTTTCTTTATCACCTGATTGGTCACCGCCCAGTCGCGTGAGGTTTCTTCGCTTGGTTGAATCTGCTGTGTTCCACGAATCGCGGTTAGCCTGGCGGCTCATTACAGTGTATAAATATGTAAATGTCATAAGAGAGCTGTACGTGCGTAGTTCGGGTAGAGTGGTGGCATATGGGGAATCAATTGCTACAATAGGTGTGGCCAACAGGAATGGGGAGCCTGGATGAAGAAAACGATATAAACTGCCCACCGGAATCTCCCGGAACAGAATGCCGTTTTTCGAGTCAAGTATAGTCTCCCGTCTGTACCACTGACAGGGTGTTAATATTGGGCTACGCTGCATTCAGCTAATTTACCCCTGATTTGACTAAAGCACGAAAGAGGAACATCGTTGTAGACGGATGCGGTCCAACAATACGCATATGATAATGCTTGAGGATACCAGTGCCATCTAATTCGATGCTTCATTTTTACTGAATAAATCATGTGCCTCCGAAGGATCAGCCTCGAGACTGCCAATCACCGCGTTAGTCGATGGACTATCTCGTCGTCAGGCACACAGTTGGTGTGACGGGCGCTTAAAGGCTCAGAACACATTTTCGGTTCTTTAATCGGAATGCTCGTTATTCAGTTGATCCATTCGCCATTCAAATGGCTGCGTCGGATTTTATACACTTATTTGATGATCAACTTCGTGACATATTGAGAGAGGTTCCAATCAAATAACATCTTTCCATTTAGCTACTCTGTAGAAGTTGCTTTTCCAAGTGAAATTGTATCTGATATCCACAGGTAACAAACCGAAGGAAAACAAAAGCGGCATCAGTGGCAGGCAATCCGTTTAAGTCTGGAGGACAAACACGGTGCAGGTCACATATGTGCGCTGCCAAATGACGGACAATCCTGGGACGATGTGAGGCTTTCAGATAGTAAGGCCCAATTAGTAGTAAGAGGGCTATTCATCCAATCGGAGTCTAAAAACCAGACAAAAATAATTGTACAGGAAAGCGGTACTGTTACCGAAGGGATGGCAGGCAAGGAACTGTTGCAATGAAGCTCAAGAGGAAAATATTGACTGGGGGTCTTTCGGAAAACATTAATATAAATGATGACCCTATTCTATATCCGATACATCTTGGTTCTCGATACACAAGGGACGAGCAAGAACACCGTAGTCTCAATAACTAAGCAGAAGATGGAAGCCATCGCTGTATACCACTGCCGATGGCAGTGTGCAGGGTTAATGGTGATGTACCTTCTCTTCGACTTCGCTTCGTTAAATCTGTTATTCACTGGCAGAAATGAACATGGCAAGTCACCGTACTTACAACTGGTTAGCTGTTCAAGGGACTTATCGTGAATTCCATTTCGGTTATGATTGCTTCAGACACTCCGTCTAGATGTACGCAACCTAACGAGAGTGCATCAGCATCATCATCATTATACACGCTAGCTAGAGGTGGGAAACACCTCAGCTACCGTGCCGCAATATGTTAAAGGAAAAAGGAGAAAATGCAACAGGTGCAAGCCAGCTGAGCTACCGGTAACGGATAGGCATCGTTCCGGTAAGCTAGCAGCCGGCTACTATGCAGCAAAAAATTACTATGTAAAATTATACACGGCTAAATAATGTGATCGTGGTTGGAGGAGAGGCTAAAAGGGATGAGGTGGGACAAAGCAACTCACAGCACGAACGCCAATGAGGTCTGCTCCTAGCCATGTCAGCAAGTGTATCTAGCCAAACGTGTTAATCGTCTTTCGGACCCCAACCAGGAAGTCGAGACAATCCAACCGAGGCCAGCTCAGAAGTGAGAGCCTTCATTCCTCTCGACTAAGTCATCGATTGGCCACCCCTCCTCTTCCTCTATCCACACACCCGGCGCACAAACAACGCACGTCGCGGGACTCGGTGGACTGGCATGAATAACACGTGGCCGAGCCATCGGAGCCTAGTGCGTAAAATAACGGTGCTGAGCGGTTTAGTTCCTTTTCCTGTGCCGTAAACTAGACGTCGAACACGCTCGTTGCTTAATCGGTGTTCCCACCAAATGTGAGCTAAATTGCTAAAACACCGGTGCTCGAAGGTAACTAGTCTCGTTATGTCCGTTGATCCAAGGAGTCTGGTTACATAACGGTACAGCAGGGTCGAACATACCGCTGCACTGTACACTCTACTTATAAGGACGAGAGTGATGTCGCGCCGGCGCCATTAGTGGCGAATGTCAGCAAAAGCACTTCGAGCTTTTGTTATAATGTTCGTGATCTGATCTTCAATCTCACGGGCACTGAGACAACTTCCCAGGTAGATGAATTTTGTACGACTTTTGGCTGATCCCCACCAAGGGTCAGCGTAGGACGCGCTCCAGGCCAATCTTGGAGAATAGCTTTGCACTTCGATGGTGCAGAGCAAAGCCCGACGTGACGAACAGCCAGTGTTAAACTGTCCAGTGCCGCTTGGCACATTTGTGAGGTGTCACAAATTAGGGCAATATCGTCAGTATACTCCAAGTCAAGAACACGTTCTCTTGGGAGCAGATCCATACCTTCTAAGTCGTGTCCTGTGAATGCAAGTTCCATTATTTCGTTAATAGCGAACTTGAAGAGGAAAGGTGACAGCGAGCATCCCTGTCTCACACCGCTGTGGATATAGAAGGGAGACGAAAACTTGCAGTAAACTTTCACTCTGCCTTAGCTACGCGTGTATAATGGTCGGATAATATTTACATGTTTCTCAGGTACATCCTTCCGGAGTAGACAGTCCCAAAGTGCACGTCTATCCACCGAAATGAATGCATCTTTGATATCGAGGAACACGACAACCGTGGGCCGCCAATATATGCGACGGTGCTCCAATAACTTATGCGAAATGAAGATGTGGTCAATGCAGCCACGACCTCGAATAAACCCGGCTTGCTCTTCACGCATATGGCTTTTCCGAGTGCCAGTCCGTCCGTGATGTATGACAGGGGCAAGCAATTTGGAGGCGGTGGAGATCAGAATGATCCCTCTATGGTTGCCGCATTCCGATGGTGAGTCACTCTTGAAAATGGGGACTATGACGGAGCAGCTCCCGTCGGTAGGGAAAGTATCCCGCTACCCCAGTTTCACTAGTAACTCGCCTAAATCATCCACAAGAGCAGGTCCCCCAAATTAGAAGAGAGAAGGAGGAAGATCATCCGGTCCCTCGGTTTTATGTACCCTTAGCAGTCCAATCTCATGTTCGACATCTGAGCAAGAGCGTGGCTCCAGAGGAACAGCCCACGGAGAGCGGCGATCAGGGGCCAACGAGAAATCTAATAATTCCGACCAATTAAACTGCGTTGCAAATTGCTCAGCTCAACACTCCAAGCGTTTTGATAAGTTATGGATAGGCTGTCCACTCTCGTCACGTATAGTTTCACTAACACCAGGTCTCCTGCTGCCCGTTTCCCGTATCAGACGGAATAACTCACAATGGTTGCCAAGGGCAGCGGCCATTTCCATCTCTGATGCACGATGAGACCACCAGGATTCGCGGTCTCTCTTCAGGCT